TTCAGTCACAAGATGTTTTTTTTTTTTTTTTTTTTTTTTTTTTTCATAGATCTTTAAACGTTACCAGCTGGTATTTCATATTTTCTGTTTGGATTTCAAGTTACTTGTCTTAAAATGGGGCAAAGACTTGAAAGGAATTGAGTTGCCTCTCGAGCACGTGCTACCCTCCTCGTTTTGTTTTTTCCTCTGTGTTTTCTCCCTGCTTTGGGGTTAGATTCACGCTACCTTGCGCGTGCGTTTCATTTCGAGCGGGCTGAGTAACGAGATCTTTTGAGGTTGACCAGCGCCTCCCAGTTCAGCGAGACTGACGTATTGGGAACAACAGGGCAACAGCTTGCCACTGGTGATTATATGCTTGACTCATCGGGCAGAGGTTCTGGACACGGAGAGAAAGGGCTGATCCGATAATCTGGATGACCCGGGTGGGTGAACGTACTGCTTCGGTGGAGGAGGCTTGCGAGAAGAAACAGCAGGCATTACTGGTGTGAAGCAGCAGGGAGCGATCTGACTTGTTTCTCCATTGAGTCTTTTAGTTTTGAAGTTTGGTCACCGGGAGAGCTGCCTGGTGTCCGCGTTGAGAGATGGACACGTGTCCGGACTAGTTTTTGATGGGCAAGCGGCTCTTCAGGATGTAGTATGCATATGACAGTCAGATGAGCGTCCGAGAGCCCCTTCCACCCCCCTTCCGCCTGTCACCTGTCAAGCTGTCTGTTGCACAGAGGTGGCGGCGCACAGTCTAATTCACCTGAGAAAGAGAGCGTAGTTTCCCACACCTTTATCCTCCCTTTCGGTCATCCTGTCCCTAAAACACAAGCACCTTGGCAAACGGTCTTGTCCTCGTGCTCAGATTGCCTGCTTTCTTGCTCTTTTTGCCCCTTGTGAGCGGAGGGAATCTTTGAGGGACAGGCTTCGTGCAGGGACGCTCGCAAGTCTTTATCTTGGTCTTGTATTTACGGAGAAGGGTTCTCTGTAGAGAACCGGTCCTGTTACACGGGGAAATCCTCAAACCAAGAAGAGGGATGCTTGCGCAGTGGCGATTGTAAACTAGTAAACCAGGAGAGAGGGGGGGAAAAGGGAACAAGTCAGGTACGGGAGCTGATGTACCATATGCTAAGGGTGGATTTTGGTGGTGTTGACTGGTGGGTTTTTTTGTTCATTTGGGGCAGGATTAGCACGGAGCGGTGAGAGAGGGGAGAAACAGCAAAGCTTCTGCAAGGAAGAAGAGTTAACGCGCTTCACTGATAATTGACTGCTATCCAGAACAATTTTCCATTCTCATTTGGGCTTACCTGTCTGAAATTAACATTGTGTTTCTGAGTCTAAGCCTCGACTGGAAACCTCACTTCCTTTCTCTGTACGAATAAGCCAGGGTAGGTAGAATTGCAGCGTGTGATGGTTCCGCGTGCCGGCTGGATTCATGGAAGCGAACCAGAGTGTCTCTGGGGCCCCACAGCAGAATCGTTTGTCCTCTTTGAAACTGCCTGGGATACCTTGACCGCTGGGAACTAACAGAGTTCTCTTTTTGTAGAGTTCAGTGCAGATCACATTTGAAGAGGGTCCTCAGTTACCGCCAACCGCAAATATAAGTCGCGTGACGTGCAAGGGACAGTCGGACCACAGCATGGTAAGGCTTTGCTCTTCTGAATTGTATGGTGTGGGGTTTCTCCGTTGACTGACGGTGTGTTCTACGGAGACCGCAGAGGCCTGTGTCATGGGGACGGTGGAACCAGGGAAGTTTCGGGTGCAGTCTGTTGTTGAGTTCAGAGGCCCGTCGATGGGCTTGTAAGATTGCAGCTCTGGGGCTGCGCGTTGGTGAGCTCTGGGAGAGCCCTGGGGGCAGATGCGTTGGTGGAGCTGGGGCGTATGGATGCCGAGCCCAAAAATCGGGGTCCTGCACTGGAGAGGAGAAGAGAGCTCCTGTCTCCGATACGTCCTTACTGCTTCGTGTACGGAGTCTGAGATGGTAGGTTCACAGTGCAGAACTGTGTCTGGGAGTAAGCCTGATGCTTCTTTCCTGCCACGAGGGGTCAACCTTGCCTGCTGCTTTTAGAGGTTTTACCGTCGCCCGGCCGCCTCTCGTCAAGGATATAAACTCATCTCCTTCATTTTCTCTCCAGGTGCTATCCTGCCATCTGTCCGCTGAAGCTGTGAAATTCCCCGTCTCTGTTACACAGCAGTCCCCAGCTGCTGTTTCTGTGGACACTTATCACGTCACTTTGGCTGTGCTGCAGGCTCAGGTAAGAGTTGTAAAAAGTTAGCCGTTGAACTTGTTCTTTGACCCAGCCCCGTGGCAGTATAGAAAGGAGGGCCTGATTTAGTGCAAATGAAAGCTGCGTCATGCCGGAAGAAGCAGCATGCTGTCGCTAACGTTTGGAGGGTTGGCAAATATTCCTGATCTGGGTGCCGAGTCCCATTTTTGGAGTCTTGTTCCGCAGATCTTGGCTACGTCACGTTGCTGTAACAAAATGCAGAGAGATTTGAGGCGTGGTAGCGTTCTAGACTGTGTTTTTAAGGGTGCGTTTGAGAAACGAAAGGTCCGCGGAGTTCAATTCCCCTCATGGTGTGATGGATAGGAAAAGATGCACCCTGTCCTTAGGTATAATTATAGCGGTGTCCCGGTTGTTGGTGTGAAAAAGAAATCCTCGGTGCGAAGCGGTCTGCGTGTCAGTGCTCCCCTTAATATATTCACAAGAGCGTGATACAGATTTTTTCCTGTGTGTTGAGCAGTGGAGATGCTTCTTCCACAACAGAAGCTTTGTGAAATCGCAGTGGGTGCTAACTCCGTAGTCACTTTGTGGATGGATTCGCTTCTCTGGAATGTGCTTTTGTTCCCATCGTGAAGAAGGGCTTGACGCTGGACACGGTATCTTGCTTGGAGGCTGTGCGCTTGTTTGCGCTATAGGGAGACGTGGCGAAATTAGAAGTAATTCTATGGTAGCAGAAGCCAATCCCATGCGATTGCAGGTGTTGCGGTTGGAAGTCTGTCCTAGAACCCCTTTGCTCTCAGAAGCTCTATTAAAATTTTCAAGCTACGTTTATCGGATCATCCCGGTTTGGTTTTGTGCCTCCCTTCCGTGGTCGTTTAAATAGCTCCCCCCTCTCTCTCCTCGGTGTTTAGCGCGCCTGCTGCCGATCTAGTTGTGGATGGCAACTGCGGTCTCTTTTCATCTTTGCGTAGTCTCTGGTAGCCGGGTGGCTTTTGTAACACCTCATCAAATTGTTCCTGTACTCGCTGGCATTTTCTAGGTCTCCTTGTCTGCCCCCGCTGAAGTTTTGGGTTGATAGTTCTTGTAGAGAATCGCACGTGGTATTCTAATTGAGGTCTCGCTGCTGCATTGTGAAATGCTGGTAAGGTTACCAGATGCCTATTGGTCAGAACGCTTCAGGTACTGTATTCCCAAATGCGCCTTGCCTCTTTCGTGGACCTCTTGGTGGTTACTTACCTGGCTTCCGTGTCCCGGATCTGTCACTTTCAACCGATGACCCTCTGCGTTCACGGTACATAAATGTCAGTCTGTCAGATACTTTAGAACTATGTTAAATTTCATTCCCCTGTTTTTACCAAAGCTATTGGGCCAGGAGTTCTTCCTGGGTGGTTCTGTTTCTGTCTGTTGCATTACTGATGCCTTTCAGCTGTATGGCCGTGCAACTTTTCAGCTGAACTATGGGATGGTCTACAGGCTGGTTTGCTGTTGCAGACTGTTGGTGACCTGGATGAGTTTTCAGGTTTTGTCTCTTACGGTTGCAACGGTGTGAGGGCCTTTCGGTTGCTGAATTTGAAGCAGGGTGACAAGCACCTAACGGGAAGAGAAACTGTTCTTGACTATGGGTATTTGTTCTGGGCCAGGTGGAGATCCACTTGGAGGAGATACAGGATGAAGGTCTCCTGGTGTCATGGATGTTCAAGGACAGACCAGAATTGAATCTTTCGGTTCTTCCAAGACTTCAGCTTTGCGAGGTGAGCAGCAACCAGTGCGAGGCTGGACCCTCGTGGCGGGAAGGGCGGGAGGGGCGGAAACAGCGCTGAGCCAGGAGGAAGGCTGCTGCGAAATGGAGAGACTGGTAACTCGCTGTTGCGGCTCCTCAGGGTGAGGGAGGGGATTCTTTTGCCCTGGAATCGGTACTGGCTCAGCTCTGTCAAAACGGCGCATCCTCAGGAGGGCCGAAGCAGTATCGCTGTCTGTTGTCCGAGTTGGGTGTAACAGCTGAATGGGAGTCTGCGTAGCAAAAAAAGGCTTTCTGTCTACGTAGGTCCTCCTGCTGTTGTCAGATGTAGAGCTGCAAAATGAGCTAGGTTGGTTTGTTTGGGGTTGTGGGTTTGTTTTTTGGGGGGGATTTTTTTGAGAGGTTACTGTGCAGAACCCGTGGGTATTAGAGGTTTAACAAGCTGAATGCGGGCGTGCTTGTGCTTATGTGATCCAAATAGGTTCGCTGATTTGTTTGTTTGATTGACGCTCTTGTTGGTTTATCCCGAGTAGATGTAGGAATGTGGCTGTTCTCCCAAAAGCGTGGTAGTGCCGTCTCATGAGGTGGTGAGGATGCGGCGAACTGTAAAAGGTGTACTGTCAAAATTTGCAACTGGGAGACTACAGATGCAAAGGCTTAGTTTGTCTCATTTAGGCAATTTACATTTGCCTGCAGCTGTTACACAGAAGCTTTAAGCACTGGGGGGAGCAAGTACAGGATACGGGAAGAGTACCTGGGAGGCTATTACCCGCAGAAAGACCGTTTAGCATCTTAGAGGCTCAAGAGGCAGTTGGAGCCCTATAAGGAGAAAATAGGTGTGCCGCGTTATGACTTACCTGCATTTCCTCTTTGATTTGCGGAGAGAAGAATGAAGGGAGAGCGGATCTGTCCACCGTAAAGGATCTGATCGAGGATACCATCGTCAGCACGCAGCCAGCCATGATTGTGAATCTGAAGGCCTGCACCGCTGGAGCCGGTGCGGTAAGGCTCTCTCCTTGTGTCATTCTTGTGCCTCAAACACTGCGCGCCGGGGCGCTTCTGAGGGCTGAGGGTCAGGCAGGAATTCGAGTGCTGAGACTCGCTTCTGGGTGACAGCCGCATCCTGACCTCTGCTGTCATAGGAGTTGGGGTACTGTGGCACGGGGAGCAGGGATAATCGGAAAGCGCTCTGAAAGGCCGCTCTGTTTGTACGTGTTTCCTGAACGCTGAGTGCCAGTTGAGTTGAGGTGGAGCTGGACTGCCTGAGACGCATCTGTCTTTTGGCAGTCTCTCTGTTGCTCTGAACGCCGAGGCTCCATCCAGGGCAGCCTTTACGGGCACGGAGCGGTCCGTGGTTTGTCGCCTTCGGTTGTCCATCTGGCAGCCAGCGAGTGCGTTCTCGTCTGTCTCTTTTCCCGTCTGCCTTAAATTTCCCATCTGAATTAATGTGGGGACCCACCAGAGATCGATAGCTCGGGGAACCCGCAGCATCTCTTGATGGCTCCGTGGGTATTCCCCCGTGTTGGTGTGAGGAGCTACTTAGTAGATGCGAGGACGAACATCGCGCGTCTCGCTGCTGTCTGCTGGCGTGTGAACGATAAAGGCATCGGTCTCGCTCTCGTCATTCCTCAGGTACCCAGCAATAAGCTGACTCGAGAGTCCCCGTCCGGAGTAGCAGCAGCCCCTCTGGGTTCTAAGCTGTTGCTCCGGAATCTTCGAGTGCTGAACTTGGGCTGCCAGGGGAAGGGAGGTAAGCGTGAAAACATTGCTTATCCGCAGGGGCAAGCGCGCAGGTGGGGAGATTGGAGCGAGTGGATGTTTTGGGTGGGTTTGAGTGGAAAAGAGGGGCGCGTGTTCACTAAGCTGCTGCCTCGTGTTGACAAGCGCGCGCATGTGCTCCGTCCCTCTGTTGCAGGAGTCGGGGCGATATGCTGCATGGCAGAGCTAGACAGCCCCCCGCAGCAGAAGCGGACGAGGCCGGTGATAGCTGGCAGTGCCGGCGCTGCAGCAGAGATGGAGTGGAACGAGGAGCTCTTTCTGTAAGTGTCTGCCCTCCTTCTGGCTGGCACGGTCTCTGCGTGTCATTACCACGCTGCAGTAACTGATGCGGTCGGTGCAGACGTGAAGTCTGCGCTTGCAGGACAGCACGTCTTTGTGCTGCCTGCGTGCCGGGCTGCCGATTCTGGCGATTTGACCCAGCTCGCGTACGTACTTCCCGCTTCTCTGGATGCCCCGTGTTTTAACTGGGTGGGCAGCGTGTGGGAGCGGCAGGTGCAGAAGGCCTGGAGCGTAAATCTCAGCCTTCCAGACGGATCGCCCTCTCAACTTCCCCTGGCAGCCTACACAGCCTCGCAGGGGACGTGAACTGGAGTTTGCCGTCCCTTGTGTCCTCCACAGTACCCCGGGTATACTGGAGCTTTGGAAAAGGTGACAAGGCGTGTGAGATTCGAGGGAGGGAAGGTAGAGAATGGGGTTGCCTGCTCCGTAGCTGTTTGGCAAAGTTGGCCTAATACCGGCCCGTCTTTTTCTGTTTCAACAGGGAGTTGGGACCTAGAAGTAAGGAGCTGAAGCTGCGGGTGCTGGGGAGCAGTGACGGAGCTGGAAGTGAGTGCAGGCAGCCGTAAGATGGATTGTAAGACGGGGAGACAAAAACGGCTAAGGCACCTCCTGTGCTTTGAGCCTGTCGTAGCTCTGTGTCAGTATGATGCGTGATGAACGCTGCAAAGGATTTTTCATGTCCAGCTTTACGTGAGCCTCTGACCGCGTGAAGTAACTCCGGAGTCTCTTCTTAGTGAAAAACACTTACTCTGTCCTTTTTGGTACTCGGGAGGTTCCCCGTGGCCCGCCTGTCTCCACTCTGAAGCGGGGAGAGGGACGCGGGGATTTGCCCCTGGATATTGGAGGAATGTTGCGGAAGGCTCTTAACTCTTTTCGTTTATACTTGGTCAGGGACTAACTGCAGGACCTATTTTTGATGGAGGCCGCACAAGAGCCACCTATTTAAGGGAGCTGATTTTTGCGTTGGTAAAGAGGAGTAGAGGAGCTCTGCCCACCCCTTCCCCGCCTCAAACCTGGGAGTCACGGGGGATCCGCTTCGTTGGCCCACAGGGCTGCTTCTCAAAAGCAGCCTGGGTTGCCTGGGACCCATCTGAGGTGCCGAGGTCACGTGGCGTGTTCTGTTTTCTTCTTCCTTCTCTCAGATGTGCTGCTGGCACATGCCACGGTTTTGCTTGATTCTGCGGGCAAACAACCGTCTGGGAGACAGGTCTGCTCTCTGGCCCCAGGAGCTGGGCGGTCACTGGCAGCTGAAGCTACCGTTATATTAGAGGTGAGCTCAGGACTCCGTATGCTTGGCACAAACACGGGCTCCAGAAGCCTTCACGACGTAAGCCTCTAGCTAGAGACGAGAATGGTTAAGCCTGGGCTCGTCGCAGGGGACCGGCAGGCCCTTAGGCCGAGGAGAGGTGCCGCCTGGCCCTCGATCCCCGAGCCTCCCTCCGTTCAACCGACTTTGTAGCGGGGATGCTCCTCAGTGCCCAGAGCAGTAGCTTTTGTCACCCAAATGCCTGCCTTTCCGTCTGGGAGGAGGAGAGCCTCTCTGAGCTGTGCTTTACTCTTTGTAGCTGCTATTCCAGGAGTCTCCTGCATCTTTGAACGCTCAGCACGCCACATCTCTGCGAACCAGCATCACCCCCACTAAGAAGGTGGAGATGGACCGCACCATCATGCCCGACGGCACCATCGTGACTACTGTCACCACGATTCAGTCCCGGCCCAAGGCAGACTGCAAACTGGGTGAGGCTGCCCCGCGACAGGCATCGTGTGCGAGTGGCTGCTATCGGGGTAGAGGCTCAGCCACGGTCTTCCCTAGGCCGCTCACGCAGGCGGTAGCAAAACTGTTTAGCCATTGTATGTTGTGGTTGCCGCAGACTCGTGCCTTGCGCGGCGCTTTTGGCTTCTGGGTGGGAACGCAGACGTCGTTGCCGTTCCCTTAGCGTCTGGTGGCTGGCTGGCTGGAGATTCATGTGTAGCCTTGGGGGAGGGAACTAATGCGGCCCCGCGTCTGGGGGGAGGCGAGAGAGGGATGAGCCGTTCTGACACCCTTTGGTGGCGGGAGGTCCCAACTCTAACGTGGATACTGCCGCGTAACCTCTGCTGATGTCGGGCTAAGCGTTTTGCCACTCTTCCTCTACTATCTTCACCGCTAAAGAAGTTAAGCTGCACGTCCTGAATGTGGAGCCAAAATCACGTTGACCTTGCTTACCTAAGGGTTGTTGCTGCTTGCGGTATGACATCCTGATGAATGTGGTGTCGGATAGTCCGTGAGGTGGGGCTGGGAAACGGCACGAACACGGTTTAAGGACGGGGCTGCTTCACCTATCTTTTTCTAGTAGGCTTCTTACTACTTTGCTGCCGCCGAGCCTCACGGAGCCACCCTCTGCAGGCTTTCCGTGTGCGCTGGAGGCTTTTTGGGGGTGCGCGTAGGGGGCCACGATACAGTAGTGAAGTCGCCTAAGCTTCATGTCCGCTCACCCGTGTCTCTGTCTCTCTGCCTCTCTTTCACTGTGAAGATTCACCATCTAGGTCGCCTTCCAAGGTAGAAGTGACCGAAAAGAAGACAACGGTGCTTTTGGAGAGCGGCTGCCCTCGCAGCGCCTTGCCCAGCGGTAGCCGTAAGTGCTTGGAAATCCAAGGTTCTTACCCGAGCAACTGCGTTTTTTACACTTTCTTGGAGAGTGGCAGTCTTAATGCGGGTCACTGAACTCATCCGCGTTTACTGCAGAAGAGGATGTCCAAGTGCCTAATGGAGGTGGGGTGGGGGGCAGGTAAAAGAAATTCCACTTTGGCTATCCGGTCCGTGACTCTGGGTGTTCCGCTGCTTGACAAGAACTTTCCGGGCTATCTGGACCCAAAAGAGCTTTGTTTACCCTGTACTTGGGGCTTCGGTTGTCTCCGGGACGGAGCGCTGCAGCTGTTTTGACAGTTTGCGGCCAAGACTGCCCAAAATCTTGGGAGCCTTTGTAAGTCTTAATTGAGCGGGAAGGGTATTTTGACGATACGCCTGGTGGGAAATCAAACTTTTCGGGTGCCTAAAAGGGATGAGCGCTCTATGGAGCTTCCTTCCTTTGGTTTATTTGGGCAGGTCCGTAATAAGTTCCGTTCTCTACCTTTGTGCACATTTTGTTGCCTATTACAAGCATCGCGGTCAGCGAGCGACCTCTTGCCCGTGCTGAAGGTTGCTACTTCAAGCGTCGGTATCTTTCTTGTGCTCAGGGGATAGCCGTATGCCCAACGGCTTGGATCCAGTGGCCGAGACGGCGATCAGGCAGCTGACTGAGACGAATAACAAGCCTGCCAAGAAGACCCCGACGAAACGTAGCACGCTGATCATCTCGGGAGTGTCCAAGGTCTCTGGTAGCTAGGGGGCTCCATTTCCAATCTGGGAGGTTGTTTCTAGGGATGCGTGCGTGAATCCATCCTATCCTTTAGGGACTAGCGTGGAAAGGTTCCAGCACAGATGATTTGCTTGGCGGAACCCTCTCGCTGCTTCCTTGCAGATCGTTGCTGCTTTTCAGTGACTGTCAAAGGTACCTCGCCGGTTTTCAGGGCAGCTGCAGTGGGAGTTCACAAAGGGCAGCTGCAGAAAGGGAGGTTGCTGCCGTAGCTGGTTGGGAACCTCCCGGAGAATCTAAGGTGTTCTCCTTGGATTTGCCTACGGGGGCGAGGGAAGTGCTGCAGAATGCTTTGGAATCCGCCATATTCCCGTATGTCTCAGCAAGAGTGCCGATCGTGCGTCAGTGCTGTCTAGCATTGGTGGATCAGAACGTAGGTGTGGATGCAAGAAGGGAGATGAATGCGATTCCTTTAGACCCTGTCTTCCTGTCTGTCTGACCTTGCAACCCCCCTCCAGGTACCTATCGCTCAAGACGAAACGGCACTTTCTCTGGGTTACGCCGCATCCCTGGAGGCCACAGCATACGGGGATTCTGCGGCAGAGCACGCCGCTGACCGGACGCACGATTCTACTGAATCGTCACAGCTGCTGGAAGCGTCGCCATCGGGACAAAGGGCCAGTCAGGAGCTCGATGAGACGACGCGATCAGACATCTCTGAGAGACCATCGGTGGAAGATGTCGAGTCTGAAACTGGCTCCACAGGAGCCCTCGAGACCAGGAGCTTGAAAGATCACAAAGGTAAGGATGAACCGTTATACGCGAGCTAACGTTAGCCTGTTGTACTTGAGGACAAAGCGGCATCCGAGTTCCCTGCCCGAGCGTGGGGGCTGCAGCCGGCTTTCGGTTTGGCGAGGCGCGGCTTCTGCTGGAGCCTGGAAAAGCCTGCCTCTCTTCTACGCTTCCCACCGGAGCGGTTCCAAACTCCTCTATCTGCAGGTGTCCGATTCCTATGGCCTTTCTGGTGTCTGTTCCGAATGCACACGGGAACCCTATGTAGCGCGCGTGTTGCCGAGAACCTATTTTTGCTCCTTGGCCTCTGGGTCCGCAGATCAGGGGCGCATCCGTAATAATGATTCCTCCTCTGAATTCGGCATTCTCTGGCACAGACATGGAGGCCGCCCACCCACGTGGATTGTAAGGGCCTCGATGCCCTCCCTCTTTCTCCATTAACATCAAAGCAGCTGGCGCCTCTGACCTCTCGTACCATAGGATGTCCGCACAAATTCTCTGCATTTGAAAGACAGAGCTAGCCTGCCGTGACCAAGCTGCTGTTCTGGACTTTCCGTGCTGGTGTCGGTTAGGCAGATGCCGCACCTTGTATTTGTCTGCCTGTGGCCATGACAGTTTCGGTTAGCTACAAACGTATATAAACAAGCGCAAGCCAAAATCTCGATCGCTCGGAATATCAGAGCGGGATGAGTTTTGGGGGGTTGTGCTCTCGTACAACCAGCTACAGTTTGAACTGTGCTGGCCCCTTGTTTGCTTGTCAGCAGGTAGAGAGGTGCGTGGCCCAGATTCTCGAGAGACTTAGTGGGCCGGAAAGAGAAGGAAGAAAACAGAAAGCGAGCCCCCTCTGTAGGAAATACTGTTGTATCTTTTGTGTGGCATGCGGGTTTTGGATATGCCGTCCAGGGCCGTCGCCGTTACTTGTTTCCAGATTTGGGCATCTCGTGAGACTGCGAGCAGTTGTTCGGGGAGGGGGGGGGCGCATGATGACCCGCTAACCTGGGCGCCCTTGAGACGGGCTAGTCCGAGAGGCCTTTTCCGCGCTGTGTGGTCCTCCTGGCGTCTCCACGTGCAGATGTTCTCGCTTGTTTTCCATTCACATGAGTCTTAGCTTTCTATTACAACTCCGCACGCTTTCACTGAAAGGATAACGTTGTTCTGCAAAAGGAAGGAGATGCAGAAGGGACGCGTGACGGAGCGCTTAGGGAAGCAGCTTGTTGATATCGCAGTCTATCCCGAACGTAGACTTTGCCTTGCAGCTGGGAGCTGGGATTCACTGACTTGCCGCGCGCTTCCTCTGCTCGGGGTGGAAGAGGTCTTTGCCGCTCATCTGAGAGCAGCCAGGCGCGGTATTGCCCCCGAGACTCATCGTGACAGGATACTATCGTGGTTTCCATCTCCTTCCTTTCTGTCTCTGCAGTTAGCTTTCTTCGGAGCGGTACCAAGCTCATCTTCCGGAGAAGGAGCAAGCAGAAGGAAGCGGGCCTGAGCCAGTCACACGATGACTTGTCCAACGTCGCCGCCAACTCCGCCGCCAGGAAGAAAGCCGGCAGCTTCTCCCGCCGCCTCATCAAGCGCTTCTCCTTCAAGTCTAAATCCAAACCCAAAGCTAGCGATAGCACCACAGGAGGTGAGAACTGAAGGAGGGAGAAGCCTATCGGAACCATTGCGCAGAGGTCCTTTTCTAGTCTCTTGTCTTCCCGCTCCGCGGTATCTGTGACCTGCCGTCCAGTTCCTTCCAACCTTGGCTGAGGGAAGACACCCCAGCGCTTTACGCCGTTTGGGGAGCGGAGGTGGTGAACGCAGGCTGAGGCTGCTCGTCTGCCTTGGCTTAGGCTTCTTGGACCGTCGTACCCGACGTGCTCTCCCAGAAAATCCAGGTGGCATGCTGATCCCCGCAGGCGTCCCGGGAGTCGCAGAAGTGACTGCCTCCATAGCTGTCTGGCATCGCTGGGTGCGTCCTGGAAAAGCCGGGGGGCCTCTCGAGTGGCGACCCTCAAAGTTAACGATTGAGAAACTACCGGGTTAGCTACGTTGCCGAGAAACGCGGGATGTAGCCTCGCTCGGCTCTTCTAGCGAGTGTGAGTGACGTGGTCGCTGGCCGTCTAAACGCACTCATTGCTTCTGCTTGGTGCAGAGGCTGTAACCTTACTGAGGGTGAGGTGTGGTGCGGGGCGATGCCTTCCTGGGCTGTCAGCTGTCGGGAGAACGAGCCGTGGTTCTCCACCCGGCTCTGCCGCTGGAACGGTCTCTGTTTCGGACAGCGCTGAGGGATGCCTGCTGTTGTGCTATACCGATGAAGGAAGGAGTCTCCGAGAAGAAGGAATTTTTAACCACTGGGGAGCTTTGGTAGAAGCCCAGGCCCTTGCAAGAGCGTCTGGCTGGCGCTGTCGGTGCTGCCACCCTGTGACCCATCCCTCCTTCCACATCTGTGTTCTTGAATGGGGAAGGGGCCGTGCCTCACGTGTGCACCAGCTGTTGTACGAGCAGAATCCTTTCCTTTCCCTTGGGGGCAGTTGGGGGCGTTGGCGGCAGGGCGTCAGGCCATCTTCCGGACCTGCGGAGCGCCTGGCCTTTCGCACTCCCGCAGTTCTCGCGCCAAGGACAACGAGGAATGGGGCGATGCTAGCGAAAGGGCAGTCTGATGCGGAGCCTGGAGCCGCGGGGCGGAAAGAGGCAAGAATTTACGTGTTTTCACTGATGAAAGGGTTTCCTGTAGCAGAAGGAGCCTTTCTTGACTCCATCTGGTATTTCCTTTCTTCTAGCAAACCTGATCCACCATGTTCAAACAGCAGGCATTTCCGCAGCGGGTATTTGCAGAGGGAGAGGTGCGCAGGGGAAAGCTGACTCCTCGCGCGGGAGGAAACCGCCCTTGTAGATGAACGGTTTTTCCGGTCTCGTGACACATTGCGAATATCCCCGGGGGCCCCGTTTGGATAGCGTAACGACGCTATTTCTTTGGAGAAATGCTAGTGCTGCCGGCACGCCTTGTTTGAACGGAAGCTTCTGCTCTCCTGTGGGTTGTAGAGTTTAGGAGAGAGGGCAAAGGGGAGGAAAAATGTCACTGAAGAGCAACTGCCTAGGCCTGGCTGGGTTCGCTAGCTCTCATCTCTTGTTGCAGTACCTCCTGAGGCGGGGACTGTTACTCCACCTTACGCAGGATGCGACCGACCGAATGTGTCGCGTTCTTCAGAAGGAGAAGTCCTGGCTTACTGATACGGCCATCGTGTGTCATTTCCAAAGACCAGAACGGGTTCGGAATGCCGCCGCAAAAGGTGTTAGAGGCGGGAATTTCAGGACGTCTCTTGAAAGCGTCTGGTGGTAGGGAAGGCCAGAATCACCTGGGGCTTGGATGGAAAGTGCCGGTGCCTGCCAGCAGGAGGGACTCTCTTTGCTGTTTTTCCTGCTGGTTCCCCACGAGGTCGGGCACGTGTGAGAAATTGGACTGGTCCAGCTGGCCGACCGGGAACCTCTTCTCCATCTGTTTGATTCGGTCCGTGAGTCTTTCTGTCATCCCCGAGCTTTTTCCATGTCTTTTATCCTTCGTTTCTTTTCTCATCCACACGGTACCGTGGCTTTGTTGGCGGTTCCTTGCGCCGTTTCTTGCTGAAAATAAGTTTCCTCGATACGAGCGATCGGTTCCTGCTGCAGCACCGGTGGAAGTCGGCAGTCTTGCAGCTCACCTCTAGCGACCCAGCTGCAGGTTTGATGTAGCCGTCCTTTGCTGGGTCGGCGTGCCGTCACGCACGGCACTGTCCTTTGCGGGCACACCTTTGTTCCCGGAGCCTCGGGGTTTGGTTCCAGTTTGGCGTTCTCTCTGGCACCACCCCTGCTATGACTCTGCCTCTGTCGCTCACGGTACTTGCTGCTCCGTTTTCAGTTTTTCTTTATTCTTTTTTAACACCATCTCAAAGTTGCTTTGAATGAGAAATGCTGGCTGAGCACAGGCAGCGCCGCTTCTCTAGTGGGATTGCTGTGAAACCTTGCATTAGATACGGTCATTTGAAGGGAAGGGAACTTTCAGAAGAGCTAGCACCTCGTCAGGGTTTATCACGAGATGTTCTGTGAGTCTCGTTTAACAGTCCTGTATTCTTTAAACCGCAAGGGCAGCTCGAGCTTTCTCGGTGCGGAGCAGCTGGAGGCAAATGCCCGAGGCTCCCGTCCGTGCCTCTGCAGCGTGAATCTGGAGCTCGTGTACACGAGGAGGGCCGTGAGGGCTAGCGAGCGTTTTCCTTCTCGCTGTAGACTGGAGGCAGAAAGGGCCAGTGAGGTTCGTGTCCGACAAACACAGACTTTGACCGGAATATTTTGGTCTGGCTCGGGGGAAGGAGGCAATAGGAAAGCTGGCAATAAAACCAAAACTTGAGTTGCCGGCCTTGGGATCCGAGGATCCCTTTCTAGCGGTGTTAAACGGGCAATTTCTGCCATAGGTCTGCATGGAAAAAAAAGTCTCTTTTGTCTTTAATCCCTGCTTGCGCTTCTGGCTTTAGGGCAGAAGACATGCTATTTGAAATCTGCTTTTCCCTGTTAAACTTCTTCGGGACACCCGTGCCCTCACCTCGGTGCCGTTGCGGGGTCTGCGGCACTTTGTCGTGCCTGGGACCGTGGAGCGACCCCAGTGCACGGTGCGGGCTGCCATCTGACTTTCTAGACTCGAACGGTCTGCAGTTGCCAGGTTGTTGTCTCAGGGTAGGCTCGATATTTGCACCTTGTGAAATCGGTTCTCGACCGAGCGTGTGGAGGAAGAGGAGCAGCAGAGTGGCGGGCTTGAATGCGCGGAGGCTTCTGAAGGAGCTTGCTTATGAGGGCCCGCGTTCCAAATGCTGCGTTTCGCCGCTGACTACACAAGTGGAAACGGTGACTGGTAAACGAAGCCAAAGTATGCGTTTCAGGGTTTCTGTTGCCGGGGCGGGGGTGGCGGTTGGGGTTTTTTTTTCTGTTTTGGCTGAACAGAGTTACTACAACTTTACCTATGCTGTTTGTTTTTACTTTTCTGAAGAAAATAGAGTTCTCTACCTGCAAGTATGTTTATAAGTATATTTCTGTCTGGATACATCCTCTCCCCGTGTTTTGGTAAAACTTTTTAAGAGCCTCCCTGCCAAAGCATTGGCCCCTGAGGGTTGCCCTCTTGAGGCGAGAGAAAACGGGCATGGGACGAAACGGAGGGAACCGCAAAACCTCAGTGTTTCGGGGATGCTGTAGGCTTCAGCGTGTCATGGGTGTCTGACTGAGGCCCAATACCTGGAGAGGGTGCTTGAAGGCCACGTATTTGAGGGCAGAGGGATCGCACGCGTTTTTGCACACACTTGGACTTTGAGCGCGTTCTGCGAATACCGGTCATGCTGACAGGGTGAGGCGGGAGAGTGGCCTTACCAGCTTCTGTGGTGTCCACCAAATATTTCTCACTCGGACCTCCGCAGCAAGCAAGTCCAGCTTCTCCCCCTGCGAGCACCCTCGTGCCGCTTATGCGGTTGAGGATGGGTTTTTAGGCAGATTGGCCGAAGAGAGGAAGAGCGAGGGGAGACGACTTGGGTAGAGAGCTAGTCAGAAAAGAGTTCAGCGGAGGGAAGCGTAATGGAACTTCAAACCCATGTAAGAGGGCCACAGGCACGTGCCGTTTCTAGACTAGATAGAACTGGCCGCACGGCAGAGCGTATGCTTGCAATGTTTTCGTTCTGCCTTTTTGTCTTTAGCAATGCCGCTTCCTTCCTGTGACGACTGCTCTCGGTTCGTTGTTTGCTAAACCTACGGAGAAGTCATTTCTGGGTAGCTGGCGAGATGCTTGAATGTTGGGTAGCTGGCATTTGTGTGTTTCGGGGACTTTTGCCTTGCTCTCCCCTCCTTCCTTCCCTCCCTCCCCCTAGGTCACGGTGAACGTCACGGTAGAGTAACAATCCCCGTGGCGGTCCAACGTCTGGAAAAGGTCTTTGTGTACTTGTGATATCGCAGCTCCTTCTACAGGCATGACTGCTCCACACCGCCTTTCCTTGCTCGTACAGGTACTGGACCAAATACCCACGCTGAATTTGAATCAGAGCCTCTCCTTGCGCGTGCTCTTTTGTACTTTGATGCCTTCTCTCTGGGTGGATTATTTTAACCCCGGATCGTATAGAGGGAAAAAAAAAAAAGAAAGTAGGAACTGCGTAGCTATTTAAGAGGTGAGAATCAAATTACTTATTTCAGACTAAATGAATGAAGTTCTTGCATCTTTGTAAATGTTGAAGAAGAATTCCATTGCTGTGTAATGGCTGAACCTGTTAACTTATTAAACCACACGGAGATCAAAACCTGGCCCCGAGTCTGACTTCATACCCGCTTGAGTGTGGCGAGTTTGCTTCGGCTCTCTAGACGTTCAGGGAGGTAGTCAGTCGGTCGCCCTCTTTTGTAAGGCTGTCATCTCCGAACAGCCCTTTTTGCCAAATGCCGCTACACGGGTTCACAGCCCGTAAGACCACGGCTGTGGCCTGTGCAGTGCTTCTGGGAGGCAGCGGATTCCCGAGAGGGCAGCCCGGGGAGCCCTGAGCAGAGCCGAAACCTTTGGCTTGTGCCAGACCTGCGGCAGGACCCTGGGAGGGTCGTTACAGCCTCTCGGGGTGCCCGAGCGGAGCGGGGAGAGCCCTGCCCGTCCTCTCCCTCATCAC